CGCTCTCTGTGTCATCTAGGGGAATGGTGGTGGCGGCGGGGGTGTCCTGGCCTCTGGGGCTTCTATCAGCATTCCTGGGCTAGCTCTCGGCCTGGCCTGGCACACAATGAATGACATTTGCATCTCTTCCCTTAAATGCCAACTTCAGGATTGCAAATCAGCAATTCACAATTTCCCAGCACTCTTCTATCCGTCCCCACCCCCCACCCTCCATCCCCCACCAACAGGCACACTTTCCCAGTCTGGGCTCCACATTTAATCATTTAGCGGTAAGTCTTTTTTTTTTTTTTGAAAAATATCTCTATTGCACAAATTCTGTTCAATTATAGGAAGCACAAGAAACTAAACTAAATTTAACATCAGTCTCTTCCCCTCAATCTTATTTCCTATTGCACTGGAGGAAGGTGTCTGCTCCTTCTGAGAAGTCCCTAGTTTCCTTAAGGGCTTTCCCAGCAATATTAATCTCTCTCTCATCTGTCAGTCTATGGGCATATGAATTCGTTCTAGTGTCCTACCCTTAAAAAAAAAAAACAACTCCTTTGATCCTACATTCCCCTGCAGCTAGGGCTCCCTGGCTTGACTGCCTCTCCCAGGGAAACTCCTTGAATGGGTTGTCTACTGTCCCGGTCACATCTTTATCCCAAATTCTCTCACCCCTCTCTCTCCACTACAGCTGCTCTTGCCAAAGTCATCGGTGACAACACTCTGTCTGACCTGGCCTCTCGACAGCATTCAACAGGGTCGGCCACACCCTGGGGAAACACTTTCCTTCCTTCCTCCTGGGCTTTCCACAGGCCACTTCTGGGTGGCTCCTGCTCCTCTGTGGCATCTCTGAATTTGGGTGAACCCCAGGAATTGGTGGTATTCATTTGCTAGGGCCACTGTAGCCAAGTACTGGTGGCATTAAACAACACATATTTATTCTTTTACACTCTTGGAGGCCAGAAGTCTAAGATCGAGGTGTCTCTGGGCTGGTTCTCCCTGAGGGATGAGAGAGAGGACGTGGTCTGGGCCCCTCTCCTGTCTTCTGAGGCTTGCTGGCCATCTTTGGCACTGTGGCTTGTAGATCTCCGACTTCGTTTTCACGGGATGGTCTCCCGGTGTGCACTTCTCTGTGTCCAGATCTGCTCTTTTTATGATGACAGCAGTCATGTTGGATTAGGGGCTCACTATATTCCAGTATGACCTCATCTTAACTAATTACATCTGCAACCACCCTATTTCCCAATAAGGACACATTCTGAGGCACTGGGAGTTAGGACTTCCACAGATGAGTTTTTCACAATTCAACTCATAACACCAGTCTTGGGGCATCTTCCCATCTCTCCCAATTGTCATCTACCTGCCAATGCTTCCCAATTCTATACCCAGCCCAACATACCCCTGACACTCTACACCAGTTCTTCCTGATGTGTCTCCCCACCCAGCGGTGGCAGGAGCACCTGGGAACTTGTCAAAGATGTAGATTCTCAGGCCCTCCCCCAGATCCACTGATCAGAGACCCTTGTGTTTCCATGGGACCCAGCACTCTGTGTCTTTACAAGTCTTCAGGGGACTCTGCCGCAGGCAGGTTTTAAGAACCACTACTCTGGCTGACATCTCCAAGGGTCTCTCTTTCCAGCTCTACTCAG